GCTAGACAGAGCGCGCTCGCCAACGCATCGCCGCCCTTCTACCCTTGGTCACCTCCCCGGGTAGATCCACCGCGACTCGACACCCCTCGTCCGCGGCACCTCCTACCAACGCCGCAGCTCATCCGACAAACGTACTCTGACAAACCCGTCCCTGCCACCTCTCGCCTCCCTGTCGCGCGCCCCTCCCACCTCGGCTACGCCACGCACCCGTTCCGGACCCTGCATCGAAGTGGAGGATTGTCGAAGCTGGCGTAACTGGACATGGGAACACCGGCGGAGGGACCGCCTCCGATGGATCACCAGGGCGCCCAGTCACAGTACAACTACGACCCGCGCAACAATGGCCTCTCCAGACGCGCCACCGACGAGGCCGCATCCTCGTCAACCAGTCTTGCGCCCTACGACCGCACCAACTACCCCCCGCGATCGTCGACCGACCCGGGGGACCAGAACCAGCCCGTCGCCAAACCCAAGCGAAGCGGGAAGATATGTGGAAAGTGTGGGGAAGGCCTGACTGGACAATTTGTGCGAGCCTTGGGCGACACCTACCATTTGGAATGCTTTACTTGTCACGTAAGACACCCATGTTGTTTTCTGGATTGGAGGAGTTGGGCGCACGCACGTCTCTTGATCTCTAGCGACGCGAGCGCGCGCATCGCTGTCCTGGATGGACTGCTCCCAATTGTCTCGAGCGCGATAATTCTCTACATAGCATCTCTGATCACAGTGCTGACCTGCCTTCTAGGACTGCGGTAAAATCGTTGCCTCCAAGTTTTTCCCCGTACCCGACAAGCCACCCGGCCAGTACCCCCTCTGCGAAACAGACTATTTCCGACGTCTCGATCTGCTCTGCTTCGAGTGCGGGCAAGCCTTGCGCGGCTCCTACATCACAGCGCTAGACCGGAAATACCACATCGAGCACTTTACCTGTTCCGTGTGCCCTACCGTTTTCGGCGCCTCGGACAGCTACTACGAGCACGAGGGCAGCGTCTACTGTCACTACCACTACTCCACCAAATTCGCCCAGCGGTGTAACGGCTGTCAGACATCGATTTTGAAGCAGTTCGTCGAGATCTTCCGAAATGGACAGAACCAGCATTGGCATCCGGAATGCTACATGATTCACAAGTACTGGAATGTCAGGCTTCATTCCACAGGCCAACCTGTCATTGAGCGATTGCAGGATGCCGATGGCGACGCGACAGATGAGGTGCGCGAGAGCGTCCGCCAACAGGAGGAAGAGATCGAAGCCAAGGTCAACTGGATCTGGAAGACTCTTTCGGCTTTCGAGGAAAAGTCAGCGACCTGCATCTCCGACATGCTCCTGCACGTCAGTAACGGTGCTTACGTCGACGGTGTCATGGCAGCCAAAAAGTTTATTGTGCACGTCGAACTGCTTTTCGCGGCCGCCGACGCGCTCGATGCGCAATTGATCGTCAGGACACCCAAGGGATTGACCTATTCGCGCGAATCAAAGCTACTTTGTAAGAAAGTGGTAGCCTTCTTCGCGCTTCTTACCCAGTCCCAGGGTACTGGCGTGCGACGACTGGGTGTGACCCAAGAATTGCTGTCCCTGGTTACTGGCTTAGCCCACTACCTGAAGCTCCTCATCCGCATATGTCTGCAGGGTTCTCTAAAATTAGAGCGCGAGACCCGGAGCTCCACCGGTTTGACCAACTTCCTTACCCAAGTAAACTCACTCGATGCGCGGTTGGAGGACGAGGCCCAAAGAGACCAGGCGGCTGAGTCCGCGCGGCTTGTCCCAAGATGGGCTGACGCATGTCCAATATGCGATGCCCAGGTCGAAGACAAGTGTTTACACCTAAACAACATGTCGTACAATTACAGCTGTATGGTATGCCGCGGCTGCAATGCCGACTTGCGCCATAGCCCTCAGAGCGCCTATTGGAGTAAATCGAAGCGAAGCATCTTTTGCCCGGCATGTGCAGCAGCGCAGCCAGACGCTGAGAACGGTTTCGAGCAGGTCACCAAGCTGCGTCAGTATGTGCACCTACTAAACGTGGCGCATGCACGTCTTATGGCGACCCTACGATCCAGTGGCGCATTGCCACACACTTCAGGTAAGAATAACTCTCCGTAACAGATCACCTCGTCACCACTCATCTTGACACTCCGACTCAGATTTCTGGAGCCGCTTCCGAGATTACATTCGTCCCACTAATGACTTGTAGATGATCCCAACCTGGCAGGCTATGATTCCACACAGGGACATCGCCTTGGGGATGACCCGCCGCATTTGCGACCGGACACACGATCAAAGTCGTATGGAGGGACATCAGCAACAGACAGTCAAAACAGCAACAACGCCGCCTACGAGCAATCCATGTCTGACATCAAGCGCCTACGATCGACACGACTTGACAAGCACCTATCCAACACGATGAAACGTGCGCGCGCATCACGAATCATTGACGGTCCAGAGGGTCTTGAAGGAGAAGGACAAATGCGAGGAGGAATGCAAATCGTTCAGGAACGTGAGCTAGGGGGCGACGCCGACGCTGTAACACTCGCTGTGAACTCTCTCGCTTTAGACGACATTGCTCGCATGGCTGCGTTGGAGCAGCAACGAGAGCAACGTCCAAACGCATTCCGCGCTGGTGGAAGCGCACTACTGGGACGAGAAGATCAACCGAAGCTGCAGAATGGCCATCGTCGCGACTTCTCTGGCGCCCAAGATCTACAACAGATGACCGAAGGTCGCTCGCGAACCTACTTTTCGGAGCTCTCGCCTCTTGAGTACTTCAAGCTGAAGGGCCTTGCAGTACTCCAGCTTGGCCTCTTGCTCGATGACAATCAGTACAACCAGGGCGATTTGCTCGATCTCATCGAGTCGAAGAAAAACAACTTCTGGGGCAAGATCGGGTTCGGCAAAGCGTTCAAGGCCGACAAAAGCAAGCCGAAGAAGGGCGTTACAGGAGTCGAGAAGCCAGTTTCCGACAAAGCAACTTTCCGACAGTCGCTTGAGTACCTCGTGGAAAAGTATGGTGATGAGTGCACGGAAGGTGTAGGACCGGGCGCTCTCAAAGTTCCAGCTCTGCTTCAGGATTGTATCACTGCGATGAGAAGTATGGACATGTCCATCGAGGGTGTGTTCAGGAAGAACGGCAACCTCAAAGCTCTACGCGAACTCGAGGAAGAGATTGACGCTCACGGTGTTCAGAAGGTCGACCTGAATACCAAGAACCCGGTCATACTCGCCAATCTCCTAAAGCGCTTCCTCAGGTTGATGCCTGAGCCGGTATTGACCTTGAAGCTATACAGGCTGTTCATGGTGGCTAATGGTAAGTCGCTCCATTCTACCAGTCGTGCTTGACTAACAGTAGCAGACATTGAGGATGAGGCACAAAGAAAGAAGGTCTTGCATCTCGTGCTTTGCCTGCTGCCCAAGGCCCACCGCGACACAATGGAAGTTCTGTTCTGCTTCCTGAACTGGGTTTCATCGTTCCATACTGTGGACGAAGAAACAGGCAACAAGATGGACACCTGGAACATCGCCACCGTTATGGCTCCCAACATTTTGCGAGAGAGCAACGACAAAGAAGTCAAGAGCGTGGATCAAGGCGCGGTCAAGGTCGTGTTTGATCTCATCGAAAACAACGATGAGTTCTCGGAGGTATGTTGCTCCGCCATACTACCAATCCACTTTCATACTAACGTCAACAGGTACCTCCCGAGATCATGGAACTACTAAGCGATGAAGTGTCCGACATGAGCGCGAAGGAGATCATGCGCCAATGGGAGCAGCGGGGGAAGAATCCTCTGTCAGCTCCTACGCCATCACCCAGGGACCAAACCGGCACGGCTTCCAGGAAAGATCAGCGCAATTCGCCTCAAGTTACGACGGCGGACAACAACCCCTCGGCTCAAGCTGGCGAAGCTTCCGTTCGCCAGATCCCCGGCGGGGGTGCTCAACCTATGGGCAGCAATCAGCACAGCCCCACACCAGGGTACGACCGAAATACACCCAACCCTGCATTCGCCCAAAATCCTCAAGCTTCTTCCGACGGCCACCGCACTGCATCGCCTCATCGGCACAGCTACCGCTCGCCCGGCTTCCAAAAACATACACAGATTGGCACCGCGGGCGCTGGATGAGACACGACTACTCTCTTTTTGGAACCCTCCCGGAGTACAAGGCGTTGATTGCATGTCACCATCTATGCATGGCTTGAGCGAAAAGCATTCAATGAGCGGCGAATTCTATTCTATACCCCTGGCCAGAGTCTACGTTATGACATCTAGACTGGCCAGTCCATCTTCTCACGCATCGGCTTGGCATAAGTTTGACGAACCTGTTTGATTGCATTGTAGGCATCCTGCGCTTGCGCGATGCGTACTGGAAGGAACAACATTTTTTGCTGCAGCATTGGTATGGGCGTTTTCTGGGTAATCACATTGTGCCATATACGATCTTGGCATTGTTTACTGGTGGCGCGATCATGCGCGTGCGAGTGCGGAGTGCTTGTAGAGGTGGTGTTTGAGAGTGTGAAGAGTACTAGGGATTGGGATGGGTGGGCTTGCATGGCCGAGCTGCATGGAAGCTGCATAGGCTGCTGCAGTAGAAGTCGAGCCGAAGGTGGAGATAATGTACGAAGTCGCTCGATGTAGTCTTCAAAGACTTACGTTGCCTACTGTTGGTAGATGGCTTTAGAAGCTGGTGTAGGTATCTGATCATTCTCCCACTCTCTACGTCATCTTTTTTCTTGTTGTTTACGGTGCGAGGGACGCGCCTTCCTCCTCATCTTCACCGTGCTTGGCACTTGCCGCTCGCCAGTACTCACCTTCATGAAGCTTCCCTCCCACCCTGCGCAGCGAAACTTCACTTTACTGCATGTATCTTTCTTTACCTCAATCTTCTCTCGCGGACGTTGCATTCGCTGCGTGCAGCACAAGGTCATCGCTTCGCAGCACTACCTGTTTCGCAGAAGGCTCCAGAGTACTAACCGGTGCTTGTACTTGTATCACGCGTCGCGCGCACGATGGATCCCGCCACTACCAAGGTCATACTTGGGCTCCATCGCGAGGACCTGAACGCCGCTCTCCAGAGTCTGTCTAAGACCAGCCATGACGACCGCGAAGGGGCCGCTTTCGCCGCGTTCCGCGATCAGCTACTGGGGGAGTGGAACAAGTTACACGATGCAGTCTTTACGCTCATCATCGTTCGGGAGGACAACGCTGTTCGAGAGGCCTTTACGCAGCACTCGGGTGAAGCGCAGCAGGCTGATCGTGAGTACAAGCGTTTTGATCATGGTACATGAATCAATACTAACACTATGAAGGCAACTACGAGATGGCTTGCAAATTTGCAGGTCTGCCGGTGCCTCAACGCCCTGCGGTATCGAACGATCACGGAGCACACAGAATCGCAGCAGATAAGCAGTCCGAAGGCGTGAACGGCAGGACACTCGCTCAAGAAGCTCCCCGCTTCAGCTCCGTTGGGACGCAAACGGCACCTACCAAGACCAAGCCTCCTGCCGGAAACAGCTGGTGGCCCGCCTTGTCATTGAACAGTTTCAAGCGTGCGCGCGTTGAAGATGCGGATGATGGAGACAAGAACTCATTCACACCATACACGCATGAATCTACACTCAAGAAACGGACCGCCTGCGTTGAGCCTGCAGCACTTAGGGAGGAAGATGACGGGCGAACCAAGCGAACCAAGCTTGGATCAGAGGCCAGCACTACTCTTACCAATGCTACCGCCAATGTCGCCTCGTCCGGCACAATCGGCAATGAAGATCATGGTCTCCCTGCAGCCGGATCCGGCACTACCATGTCTCGCAAATGTTCTGCGTGCTTGGACATGCACCCCATCCGAGACACAATCCAGCTTCAATGCAAGAACACTGGTGACGCTGAGGCTCATGCATACTGCCGCGAATGTCTCATTCACCTCTTCGAGACTTGCATTACAGATTCTTCGCAATTCCCACCGCGATGCTGTAATCAGATATTACCGGTCGTTGCCTGCATCCCGTATTTGCCGCCTGCGCTCTTCGCTCGATTTGTGGCCAAAAGAGAAGAACTGGAGACATCAAACCGAACGTATTGCAGTAACGCTCTCTGCTCACAATGGATCAGACCTGTCAACATCGTAGCAAACATCGCGACATGCCCAACATGCATCCACAGAACCTGCGAGACTTGCAAACGTGGGCAACATGATGGTCTTTGTCAAGACGATACGGATGTGAAGAAGCTCATGGATGTGGCCAAGGAGAAGCAATGGCAGACTTGCCCCAATTGCAACGAGATGGTAGAGCTGAAGGGTGGCTGTCTTCACATCACGTACGTACCTACGTCCGTTGCGCCTCTGATACGTTCAACTGACTTTTTAGATGCCGCTGCCAACACCACTTCTGCTACCGGTGCCAGGCGCCATGGCGTACATGCAATTGCGGAAAGAATGCGCGCCGCATTGCTGATACACCAGTACCCGCCAACATTGCCGCTCCAAACGTTGTCATTCCTGCGAATATGGCACCGCCCGTACCAACGTTCTTTGCTGCATCAGTGGCCGCCAACAATTCTCCCATCTACCCTGCAAATCCCGCTCACGTCGTGCCTTCTCCTGTCCCACCGTTTGGCTTTGCACCAGCAGTGTATGCCCCAGTACCGAACGCTCCCGTCTTTCAGCCTCAGCTACATGCCCCAGTACAATTTCAATCCTTCGGTCAGCATCCGCAGCAACAACGACTACCCGAGGCCGGCAAAAATGGGCAGAAATATGGCCACCCGAAGAATGACCACGAGTTCAAACGATTATACAAGAGTAAGGGCGTCGACACCAAATGTGATTACTGCGGGAACCAGGACCGCTGGGTCCATGGCTGTAACTTTAGAGGATGTCATCTACGCGTTTGTTGGCTATGCACGAAGCGCCACCATCCCAATTATACTACCACCTGAACGCCACTGTGTATCTCGAGCGCAACACATGTCAGGCCAAGAATTTCAGTCAACATGTTGCCCAAAGATAGGTCAAATACTACCTGCGTAGATAGATAGATATGTGGACACACATATACATGGCTCTCTTCAGACGCATGTACACAGACTCAGTAGGGCATAGCATGTTCGTCTATATAGAATCTAAATACCGCTGATGCAACTCTCATATCACAAATCTCTATTTCTTGACAGCAACCACAAACAACCTCGGATATCCCAGCAACACCTTCCCATCCACCAACTCCGGATACTCGCCTTTCAAACCCCTCTCATACTCCTCCAAAAACGCCTTCTTCGCCTCCTCCCCCTCAATCTTATTCAAATAAGGTTGCAACCCCGTCCCCTTAACCCACTCCACAATCGCGCCCGCATCCTTGAGCACATGCATATACTTTGTCCTCCACACATTAACCAAACTCGCCTCCCCAACCAACGCATTGTAAAACGCACTCGGCTCCTCAATCGGATCCAAATCCGGCCTTGAAGTATCCTTCAAATCCCCGATCTGCGTATCCGCAAAGGAGTCCGACCACGCTTTCCCGGATTGCAACGCCGTTTCGCGCATCATCCGGTGCGACGGCTCGTGATAGTTATCCGGTACTTGGATTGCTATTACGCTCCCGCTTTTCAGCGAAGAAAACAGGCGCGCGAGCGTGGGTATGCGTTCGGAAGACCGGAGCCAGTGGAATACCGCGTTGCTGAATAACACATCCACGTCCCCATCTGCTTTGAATGTTGCCAGATCCCCTCGCATAAAATCTACACTATCCTTTGCGTCGAACTCCGCAGTCGCCTTCTTCAACATGTCGGGGCTACTGTCCATGCCCGTGATGCGCGCAGAGGGAAACGCATCGAGGAGGACTTTCGTACTATTCCCCGGACCGCAGCCGAGGTCGTAGATACGCGGTGTTGAGCTGGTGATGTTGGGTTGGATTTGAGAGACGAGATCGTAGACGGCGCGGAGGCGCTCGTTGTTGAATTTGAGGTATTGGGTTGCTGACCAGTCTTTTTTTGGTGGGGGTTCTGTTGACATTTTGGAGGATGAGGTGCTGAAGGACTGGTGTTGTTGACTGTGATGGTTGTAGAGCCTTGGTCGTGGTTGGAGTGCTTTTTGTGATTGAGGGCCGTAGAGTGTGTGCCGTTGGTTAAATGGATACGATGTTGTGACGATGGTTGATAGACTGCGGATATGTATCCGCGGGTGGATTGTGGCTGGGCGGGCCGATTGAAGGGTTCGCGTACTACGGAGGAGTGGGGACGACATCTGCGCAGAATCTTTGCATCAGCTGCGGGAACGGCTAATGATGCTTGAGTAATGCTTGAGGTGATTAAGTATGTACAAGGAGTGACAAGCTCTTCGGAAAAGCGCCGTGCTGAGGTCTGGAAGCTCAGCGCAGCGAATCAGTTTGCATGTGTGGGGTACGAGGCTAGCGGATGGGGTTAAGATCGGCGTATGTCCGGGGTGACGCATCACCGAAGAGGTCTACAGCTTGCTCTCTGTAGTCGGAAAAGGCACTTTTGCAACTTCATGAAGCACATTTTTGTAGTGGGTCAATTTTGCTCCTGGTTATCAAAGAGGGCTCAATGTAGGTCCCGTCATGTCTTGCTACCACACATTACCTCATAAGGGAGAGGACACAAAGAAAGCTATCGACTCTGAAAACGAACTCGCTGAAGGCGCAAAGGCACTAGAATCGTGGAGGCATCATTCCCGGGGGACCCATCTTGTTACCACCAGACTTGCCCGCCGTGATCTCGGGATAAGCTGTGCTTCCATCGTCGTATTCGATCGGCTCTTCATCGTTTTCTGGCACGCGCGCGCTGGTGCTGAATACCTTGACTGAAAGAGTCTTTTGGTCAGGGAACTTGACACGTTCACCATTTTGCTAGAGGTATAAGTCAGTTTTGATATCAGCTTTGACGTTGAGTGAACTTACATCGTAAACATTCCAGGTCAGCTTCTCGGTCAAGAAAGGCACCACGTCGCTGGGCTCCAGGCTCTTCAAGCTCTTGTTCTCAATCTGCTCGACGAGATAAGGTGTGATACTTGTTGTACCGTTCATCAACTTCTCCGGCATTGAGGGATCTTTCTCGGCGTGCACGTCGTCGAGTCGCTCTGGCATCAACATCATCCAGCTTCCCACGTCGACAACTGGATCGGAGTTGAACATGCCACCGAGGGAGTACTTGACGATGAACGATGGTGGAAGTTTGGAAGCAATGGCTTGTGTCTCGATGATCCAATCGGTGTAGGTGCCGTTACTTTCCTCGAGTGTTTCTCCGAATGGCGTTGGCTTGGTACTCATGACTGTAACTTTGCTCTGTGCGCGCGCGCGCCCACTATACATCCTCGCGATCTGCGCTGTGACATCTGCCTGATAAGCTTGGTCTGACGCGAACTTCCAACGCTTCGTTTCCGGATAGGCATAACCTAAGACAGTGGTGTTGCGACAGTCGTTGAAGGTCATGAATTTGCCGGGATCCTTTCGGAATGGGAGGAGTTCAGTGTTTGCGTCAACGTCCTGGTAGTCGTCAAGATAGACGTTGCCGTGTGGCCCTATGCTTGACTTCTCCATCCAAAGATCGGGGTGCGCTCCCTGGTATAGTGCGAGTAGGCGGTCGACGTTGCTGACGGTTTGTTAGCTAATGTGATTCTAAAGATGAAGCGCACTCACGCATGATGTAACATGAAGAGGGGTTCGTATGACGAATACTCCAGCGGCCACATATGACCAGGTGTAGACGTGGTGGGATCGTAGCCACCGCCGATAACGCCGTGTATCCAACCATGCGGGTCTTCTAATATACTAGAGAATCGCGAGAAAGTGCTCGCTCGGAAAGCAACACCAACCTGAGATATCAGATTGGTGGACTGGCCATTGAAGGCACCAACAAACATCGATTGTCGCGATGTCGCATTGGCGGTCGCGTCACTCGGCCATCGTATCGTCGAACTCATAGAGGCCCACTGCAGGGTAGATTAGATATCTTTTACCACGAACTTCCAAGATTGAAATTGCTTACCTTTTGATCAAAGCCAGTAGGTATGGGATTGAACTTGTAGGAATACAGCGGATTTGACACCACTGTCAGACTGCCGTCCGTATCCGTTACCGCTATTTCGGGCGCTGTAAAGAAGTCGGGAACGGGGCCAATAGTGGTACCCTGGGCCCAGTCCCAATAAGGTATGCGGAATTCATTTGCTGCCTTGAGATACCGTTCGATCTGATCGGCGGGTGCTTTTTTGGCGATATCGTAGACATGGCTTGACAGTGATTGCTGCGATCAGTCAGTACCATCGTCGTTATTCCTTCAAGAAAATTGAAGGCGTGACAGTATGAAGCTCACCTCGAATAGCGCAAGGTACGGGCGATGCCAACCTAGGAACAACTCATTGCCATGCGGGCAGTAGCCAGCCTTGCCAATCTTGTTCTTCTTTCCCGGTGCATCACCCCAAACATCGTAAGGCCTTCCATGTATCGCTAAGAATTATGTTAGTAATTGATGAACCATGCTGACAGCGGATGCACTCACATGCAATACCGTAGAATGAGTTGGGATTGTTCTGGGAAGTTGTATGAAGTTGTCGCAGCGCCAAGATGTAAAGACTCCATTGGTCTGGCGCGTTGTTCTTCAAGTCTCTCACTTCTCGGCGCACATAGACGTTGCCTGTGAAAAGTTAGCGGTGATCAATACACGTGCGGGCTAGCTGAGTACTAACCGTTTTCATCCCGCGACTTCACTCCGGTCACCACGCCCACTGTGGACTGCCGAACGGCGTGAGGGCTCTTCTTTTCCGATACAGGCGTGCACGTGACGTATGATATCAAAAGCCACGGTATTAGATATCGAGCGAGCCACGGCATGAGCATGGTGAGCGACTGTCGCGTCAAATGAAGGGTATATCTGCGGAGAGCCGGTCAGAGGGGAGCAGAGAGACATGTATTTGTACATCAGAGCCTGCAGTCCCTGCGTGTAAAACAGACTAGCCACATTGAGGTCTATGCGGTGAGAGTGAGTGACGATCGCGCCTGTCATCCACAGTTGTGATACTAGGTTTAGGAGCCCAAGATGAAAGCAACTGGATGTCGCATAGGATGCAATACACCAGCAGAGCGTATTGTGGACCAGAATTGTTGGCCTCTCAGACCTGTGTTGTTGTTGTGATGACAAGAGATGTGGTAGCGAAAACGTGCCCTGAACCAAGGAATTTGCTGGGTGAAATGTGACGCACTCACCTTGTGACGCGATGAACACGAGAAATACAGCACGAGAAATGTGAGTTGCCCGCTGCTATGGGAGGATATACCGCTAATGCAGCAACGCAGTATGAGAGAAGGCGTGGCGGGTGCGTTGTAAGTTTACCTTCCCGCTGGCGTTCTTCTAGAAGCGGAAAAGAGAGATGCGACGATGACAGTTGGCGACTTAAATTACAGGGCGAAAGCTAGCGATTGAGATAGAAAGAGAGCGTGTGATGTTTGAGTCGAAGGTGCATCGACGAAAGAAGCATCGTCAAGGGGTTTGTTGACGTGCCAGAAATGTGCTTTTCTGATCACGACCTCGTCTCTCCCGCACCGGTAGTTATCAAGTCGTAGGAGCACAGAATAACATCGCTCCAAGGTTTTCGCGAATTGCCGTTGTGTGAAACATCAGCCGGATACATTACCGCAAGCAATCTTACATAGTTTCGACCGCGGTTTCGGAACGCATGCTGTCTGTCAACGCTGAATATGGTTCGCACGACGCATAAGCTTTTCAGCCTAATCCACAACTCAATATACAGACAAAAGATGGTAGGGCCATTTGTCGGCGTTCGGTAACACCCGCGGATCTCTGCATTCAATGTTGCACGGCGCGTGGAGCAATGCGCAACATGCTGTGTACCCCGCGCGGCTACGTGTCTGACTGACGGAGATTTCCCAAAATGAATCCGCTGAAGGAGATGTCGCGATTATCGTCTCCACAATCCTAGCTTTTCCGTTAATATATCGTGCCGTTTGAGGCTCCACAAAGCACCGACGCGCCTAGCGGATGCTTACGGCGACCGACGGCGGGGGATAAGCCAAACTGATTCGCATACATGGAAGTGGAACGTTGCAAGACTCCGGAAATAGTTGATTGCTGATTTGAATGGTTCCTAATTAAGACGCTAATACAGGTCATTCGTGCCGCTAGCCGTAGCTGACTGCGTTGTGCATCCTGATACAAGTATTCCGCATAGGACCACATGCGCAAACCGCCTGGCGGTCATCTCGTTCATTACATCGTGTGTATCGTCAAAGTGCCAGTCGAAATACTGGAAGTACCCGTTCGTGGGTTTAGATGTCGTTATATCCGAGAAGTGTCTTTGGCAGATCTTTGTCCGCGACCGCCCAGGCCCAGGCACGACCTGCCTCGCCACACCACAAGGAAGATGGGTCTTCCGATTTCTCAAGCATACCGTCTTTGGCCATCGACTTGATCTCATGGCCTGTGGTGTACGTCAAGAAGTGTTCGAATTGCTTTCCGTCTAGAGCGAGAGCGTTCCCGGTGATGCCGTGACAGAGACATGGCTCCTTGGTGAGCAGGCCTCTTTCCCAGATGCATTCTCTAGCCTTTGCGACAACCCGATCCATGCGATCTCGGAGTCCTGGGAAATATTTTCGGATTGAGAGAATGGAATTGACTACACCCGGTGCTCCGTGACAGACTTCAACAAGCTTGTCACGACCTGGTGGGAGAGATGAAGGGAAGTTGCCGCTCTCGTATTGATAGCTGAGCAAGGCGCCTAGTTCGGCCTCCAGCTTAGACGCCCAGGAAGGGTCGGTGAGCACGATCTGTGTAATGATACCGATTGCGCCATGAACGGCACCCACGTATGCCTTCCCATGCCACTTCCAGGGACGCGGGCTTTGCATGATGTTCTCGATGACCTCATCGGCCGTGTCTTCGATGAGCTCGGTCACGTCCTTGTTGTGAGCGAACGCCCCGCGGACCAAGCGGAGGAGGTACAGATAGCCAGCGCGACCGTATAGCCATTCGTTGGAGGTCTCATCCTCAAGCATGACTGCAGCATGATCGCAGAGCTCCTTTACAGTGTCTGGGTCTTGTGCAGTCACGGCGTACAGGGCAAGCAGAGACATGATGTCGTTGGAGATACCGCATTTCTTGGGAGATGGTGGCGGGAACTCCTTGATATGAGCCTGAGCTTGTTCGATGTAAGCCGCAGACCATGTGTTCAAGGGGTAGTCATCCAGCTTAAGATCCGGGTAGATGTTGTGCAGGGCATAGAAGAGGTAGGCTACCGAAATCGGTCCGTAGTATAGACCACCGCCTGGGGGTACATGATGCGGAGGATAGTCGGTAATCAATCGATCCAATGACGCTAGCAGCTGCTTGTGAGGATCTCGTCGTGCCAACGGCGCATCATTTCGAAAATAGCGGGGTATCGAGGGAGGCGGTGCTGCTTGTGTTGCCGAATCTGCAGGCGGCGCGCCGTCTTCGGACATGATGATTAGAGTATATTGAGTCGAGTTGATTCAAATCTCTCGTTGGAAAGCGAACGGGTAAAGTTGGCGCAGATTTAGGCATGCGCGAGTGACGGAAAGGTGTGAGATCGTAGCTGCCCGACTGTGACGTCAGCGGGGCTAGTCGTCGGTGATTGGTCAGCTGCGGCAGTCGCAGGCTAGAACGAAAATTAACAAACATCACACTAAGAACTCCATGTGCTGTGCTGGTGCAATCTCGAAGTTTCTAAGTTACCTGAACTATGGGGTATCTGAAATGTTGTGTGGTATCGTACATCTCCTTCTCATCTGATGCTGTGATCAGTATTACTACATTGACTCATAACATTCTTCCGTCTAAATTCGACGCCTGCGTCTCGTACAGTTACAATATTCATCACATCTCGCTGATTCCATATATCACAGCGGCTTCTGGTTTAATATGATCATGATGAAAGAAAGGACTAGCCGTGGGCAGCATGGCCTGGCCATGGTATGGGCTCAGCGGGAAGCTCAGAGAGACGTGCCATCGAGTCGTTGCGATGGAGTTCATGCTGGCCTATCTCTCGACTGTCCAGCTGGGGTGGATCTTCTGGTTCCGTGATCGAGTCTGCTCTATACAGCGCTGCGATTTTCTGCTGGAATTGGGTGGATGCTTTCCCTGGATGCAGTCAGCACTATGTACTGAAGATCGAAGCGTAACGCGTGGACTTACTTGATAACTGCGATGTCATATCGTCACCGACTAAAGGAGAAGGATATGTGGCTGCTTTGTATACCTTCGTCCGCCGTCTCTTTCGTAGGTAGAGGAGTATAGCGGCGAGCAATGCGCACAAGATGACTGTGCCTAGCACGGCGCCGACCACGGGCGCTACGATTGACGACTGAGCGTGGCCAGCTGATACTGGTGCGTTGATAGACGGTGTCGCTGTGTCTGACGAGCTGGATGTAACAGTCTCCGACAAGGGCTCTTCTAGGCTGGATGTAGACCCAGTATCAATGGATGACCCAGAGGCCGTTGGAGAAGCTATCGAAGGAATCGTCGCGGTGATCGATATCATCAAGACCGATGTAATTGGGGTAGGCGATAATGGATGTGAGGCTACTCACGGTCAGCTCTTACAAACGCCCAACATACTGGGTGTACGTACATCGGCCTGGAGTCCGGTCCTTGTCGGCAGGACAGGTACTACCTGGCATGCATGGGTCTATCGTGCAGCAGCCACGGAAGTCGTTGCACTTGTAGAACACGCCTCCCTCCGGACATGAGCCATCGTCTCTTCCTCGAAGTGCGGGTATCATTATGTTAGGTTGGATTTTTTGATCGATGAATGATGACGATAGGACAAGAGCGACCAGATATGAAGGTGCGACCACGACCATGATCAAGCCTCATTAGCATGTTTGCATCAAACCATCATCAGACGCAAAGGCAGTGCTGTCGTAGGCCGCCGAGGCGACGCAAACAAAGCGGTGCATCGCAAGGGTGCTCCTTACTGCGCTTCCACGTGAAACGCTCTGCCCGATGCAGCCATGAGGTCAAAGAATTATTGACGCTGCTCTTTGTGTGCCTATAAACGTCGCACGGAAGCTCAACTCATCCTCAGGGGTCGCGTGTGTCGATTTATTAATGAAATCGTGGGATGATCTCGGATGCAGAAGTAGCTAGCCCCACCGCCAGCGGCCCCGACTTCCCCTTCTCGCGTAGAAGCTAATGACACCATCACCAACAACGCCACAAATATTGCGAACGTCGCCCAGCCATCGCATTCCACACGAATTATTGACACTTCTCACATGATGCATCCGGGGAGATTCGTGCACGCGTAATTGCACACATCTCGGTGGTCTGGCCAGGTCATGTCACGCGACTACGCGTACCGATTCGCAACAGCACTACGCGACGCTATCTCGGGCTGGCTGTCCACGGGTGTGGACGACAATTTGATTGCATCACAAGGAATGCGAGTGTCGAGAGGAAATCTATTACGCGGCAAGACGCAACACTTCGACAAATCTTGACAGACCTTTAGATACCGTAGACAAGCTTCTCAGCGCTGACAGGTCGCATCCACGGTTCAGTGCGGATGGCACGTCTTTCCTCCATACCACCCGCAACAAGCAACTGGAAGTCATCCTGAACCACGCTTTCTAGACCACCCGGCATCAATCTGATCGGAGCTGGACTCAACGCGGAGTCCATACGACCGTTGAGCCATGCGTAAAACGCCACCGCGAACCCACGCGCAGTTGGCGATCGTCGCACAGTGAAGCCGTGGTATTCGACCTCTTCGCCCAAACCCTCCCACACTGCGCCGTAACTTGGCTTAACCGAAATGTTGGGCGCCTTCCAAGCTCTGCCTTCGCGAGATCGGGCAATGGCTACCTTTCCGTTGCGTGCGGGGGTCGAACATATGCGCTCGACGGAGGTACCCTCAGAGATGCAATCGAATGCATAATGAATGCCAACACCTCCTGTGAGCTCTCTGATCCGCCCTGACCAACGGAGGTCTCGATATTCCACGGGAGCATTATACCCGTAGGGCTTCGTTTTGAGAGACTCCCATCGAGCTTCACTAGCGACGCCGTACAATCTGATAGCTTTGCCGCTGGAATCAGCGCTGAGTCTTACCATATGCGCGGCATATAGTGCCACTGATGTTGATGCGCCGTAGATGAGAACGTTGGTTATATCAGGTCCATCTGCTTCGTTGTGTGTGACCCTCCAGTCTGGGTGCTCTTGAAAGACTTGGTCGCGATCGTAAGCAAACGGAGCTTGCAGCCCCAGCCGGTACCATATCGCTTGCGCGGCCGTGAGAGCTACGAGGCTCACACCAACAGCCTGCTCCATAGTGACTGGCTTAGGTATTCTCCAGACTAGATCCCCCGGTGCGACAACAAGTTCTGCGAATGCACCTGGCCGGTCATTGACGCTGCAAGCACCTTACAAAAATCTTCCGATCTCATCGTCGACGCAAAGGTTCGCCTCCACGGGCACATGAACATCTCCACGCTGCAGCATGTCGCAGCACCGGAACCAGTAAGTAGGAATTGAAGATTAGTAGGCTCGGCCCGTTGGCGGCACGAAACATCCGATGCACCTCCACTCTATGTGAAGATGTGATGTGGCTTTGCGCCCCCACAACCCCTGTCTAGTCCGTTTCAAGACCATCCAGACCGCAAATTTCCTGACACTGCGTAATTGGTGGTACGTGTGTCTGTGGATCAACTCGTCCTTTTCATGTAAATGGAAAAACACATTACCGTGATGGAAGTGGCAGGGGATGAGAATGGGGTTGTTGTTATATATGATACTCGATCGCTGTGGCCAAGCAAACCCGCTTCACCCCATACTCACAACACCACACGCTCGTTACCCAGCATCTACATCAGAATGATGTTCACCAACTACTCTATCGCAGCAGCCTTCATGCTAGCCACAGCCGTCACAGCAACCCTCGACCCTGCAACCTCCAACACAAACGGCAGCTACCCTTCAGCCCCCTCCTGCTCACGTACGATCCCCACCCCTCTGTCTTCCCACTCACTAACTCCATGCTAGCTATCAAAACAAGCAAAGCCATACAAGCTGCAGAATGCAGCCACAACACCCGCACGTCCGGCCAGACTTTCGCCGTCTTCACTCAGGACCACCAGTACGACGGTAACCACGGGTGGCCGTACGGCACGTGTGAAGCGTATAACTGTGCACCGGGGCAAAAGATGGGTAAGAAAGCGGGGACTTGGACGTTCTTTTGGGCGAAGGCGGGGGTTGAGGGCGAGGAAGAGGGCGATGGGGCTGGGTGCATTAAGAGTCCGAAGGACGGGAGTTGTGGGTGTGAGAACTCGGATGGGACTTTCGTGTACAAGGGGACGAACTGCAAGTAGGGGTCGGGGTGTTGTTGAGAGAGGACTGGCTGAGACGTCTTTTTCCATTACTTTGTACACACATATTTGAGCTGGAGCTCGTCAATGAGATCTTTCTACCTTTCAGTGTGGAAATGCGAAGTGCCGTGCTTCTTCCAAGAAGTTGACGACCTGGATCTTTTGGAACTGCAGAATGACGGAAGTTCAAAGGTCGGGCTTTCGAACCCATGTGTTTTATAGTCTTGATCTGGAATTTTCTTCTACTTGAATTCCTTCATGTCCGAAGAGACAGAATCATGAAAGACTGAACGGGGCTTTTTCGAAGGAACGCACCAACATGGATTGTGGCAATCGTTTTTTTTTTTGGGCTTGCAGAGGAGGCACCGTACTGTAATAGAGAGGAAGAGGGGAACACAGCGATGCATGCATGGAAAATATACGGGCGTTTGAGCGCTTTGACAATACAGGCGACATACACAACCGAGCATGAAGTTTTGAGGGCGAACAAACGAGTATAGATACCCAGCACACTTCAAGCTCATGAGGCGTGCGAATCCGAGTTTTGAATATTGGGCAAATAGTCAGTTGTGAGCGCGGTAACATCCTGAAGTCGACCTTATGCACCATGTCTGGCTGAAACAGCCTTGTGACAGCGAAGCCGAGCCATGGGAGGAGAAAACATGGTTTTTTTTAGTGGCAGTTCAAAGTGCCAGAATCTAAGGCTTGCGATTCAGTTGCCCAAAGGACATGAGCTGTTGGTAAACTGTTTTGAACAAAGCAAGAAGGCATATATCCATGGTCATGATACTTGTTACAAGAGAGCCGGCAACATGGTCCAGCTCCGAATCCGTTTTGGTAATGAATAATGGGGAAGAAGTTGAAGAACGAGAGTCTGGAAGCAAGGAAAAGAAGGTTATGTAGTGACCTCCAGACGCAGGCTCGGGTCATCGTGTCCTTCTCTGAGTCCAAGTACCCAGACATTACTAAGTGAAGGTGAATCTTCTTGTGACATATTTACGCTCGGCGTCAAGATAGATCATGCGCAGAGTGAGATCAAGTTTGAGATAATTACCCTCGGTCGCGGGAAGATTCAACATGAAGGGTGGGGAGACCAAATTTTGGTAAGATCCGGTGGTCTTCTTCCCGACATCGCAACAATGGTTCTTTGGTTTAATCGAACTCGAACAACCGTGAGCTTTTGGATTTCGTGTTTTCGTGCCGTCCACAAAGACACAGCAGCGCAGCCGAAACCCCCATGAGTTTGATTCTGAATTCTTTTGGTGTCGGAGGGAACAGCAGACATGTTTTTGTGTAGTAGAACTTTTGGTAAATTGAGAGTAGTTTTGGAGAGTAGTGGTGAGCAAAGATACTGCCGTGCAGGAAGCGGCTCTTATAAGCGAAAGCACCAGGTGGTCGGGGGTGCTTCAGCGCCAGCCGAACAACATGTGTCAGTGGTCGGGCGATTTTGGAAGCAGCACATGCGGTATAGAGTCTCCGCGTTTTGTAATTTCGTTTAGAACAGTCGCAGTTGCATGAAGAAAACAGTCCATGTTTTTGATATGCCGTCCGCCGGCAAAGTCATCCACGCTTCCGGCTTGTATTTGGAATTTGTAGAAAGGACGGAGAGGGAGGCGGGACATGTGTTGGTGAGAGTGACCTTTTGAGAAGCGCAGACCGAGCAGCGGACATGAGCATGACCCTTGCAATTTTGGTAAGGAGAATGGAGGAAGTGTTTTGTCGAAAGAATGAATCTAATGCGAAGCTGGGAAGCCTTATATAGACACTTCCCGGAGGTGTGCACGTTCGCCGGTGCGCTAGACGAACTGTCCAAAAGGTTATCGATGTGAAATCATGGTAATTCTGCGGAACGCGAAGAAGACAAGCAGCGGTCTACCATGCATCGATGTAGATTACCAAATCTAAGGACTATCCCGCGTATGTAAAGCCTAGTTTACCCTCGCTCCGAAGTCCAGCATGGTAACACCACTCTCCAGTCGTGCACTGAGATCGAGAACAGTCCCCCATCATCATGCCTGAGGTATCTTTCCCCTCATCCCCGGCGGCAACAGCGCATCCGCCTTCCTCGCAGCGTCCACCTCCTCAGCCGTAGGTTCCTGCGGTACATCGACAATAACGCTAGGGTCTTTCGAGCGGGAGGCCAGCATCGCAGCGCGTTTCTAGGAGTAGCATGTCAGCCATATGCTCTAACCCTCTCGCATGCCCGCCAGCCACGATCGCGTAGCTGCGCCTTATGCCCAAACTCTCATGAGGAGCGGACGGATATGGACATACCTCCCTAACACCCCTCCCCGCATCCACCCCCTCACCCAGAAACTCTGCATCAATCCCCTCCGCATCATCCGGCGACCGCATGGAGCCTCTCACGCCTCCCAAACCATATCCCGATGTGCTCATACGCCTCCTCAGTTCCTCAGGCGTTATCGCACCACCGTCCAACTCGACAGGCGCATCGTTTATCGCGGGTGTATTCGTGTCGATCAAGGGTGTTTGGCTAGAGACTGCTGGACTAGTCTTATGCGGGAAGGTAGAGGTGCGGGAGACGGGGGAGATGGGGTCGCTTGGTGGTGGCGGGGAGATGGTCGAAGTGGAAGTGAGAGGGGGAGGAGAGATGGTGGGTGGTGGGTTTGTCATTGTGTGTATGGCGGAGGGAGTCGCGATGTCGGTATATGATGCACAGAGACTTCTTCGTAGGAGTATTGTAGTAGCGGTCGTATGCGCACTTCACAGCCTCGTCGCGTCGCTTTCACGGCTGTGTGTCGAAAGGTAAGGTGCGTGACGAGCAGATGTCGCAGACGTACGTAGGCGGCACAGCTGCCTCTTGTGCAACCCAAGCCTCAGGCAGCCCGCCTTTCGCAGCCTCACGGCCAAACAAAAGCCCGCGAGCGCGTAAGCAAGTCGTGACCGCGATGACGTTTGACGCCCACGCGCCGGCAATTCAGGGTCCAGCGGTTGAAGTGGGGCAGCGACGCGGCAGCTGGCCGGGGTCGATGTCTTGGTATGGACCTTGATCGTCGCGTGCTATATCGGGATACGAGTTGGATGGAAAACGACGCAACAACACTAAGGGTTAAGTTGGCGAAGAAGGCATAGGAACACTGGGTATGTGTGGGTTTGAAACAAGCGCAAAGGCTGAGCTGAGTTCATTCATGTTTCCATCGTAGCGCAGGGCACATGGGTTGCTGCGCCTCCTTCCTCCCGCCCTTTTGTACATCCAATAGCTGACGGGTATCTAGTAACACCACCAAGCTTCGGCCATCCAGCAATTTGCGTACACCACGGGCAAGAACGCAACTGACGGCGCTATGATCATCGACGCAATGGATCTGCTGTACACTGGCCGCTTCTCCAGCTTCTGTATCGTCTCGAGCGACAGCGACTTCACCCGGCTCGCATCCCGCATCCGGGAGCAGGGCGTCACCGTGTTTGGGTTTGGCGAACGCAAGACAAACAACGCGTTCATTGCCGCTTGCGATAAGTTTACCTACTTCGATGTACTCAATATCCCACCCGAAGAGACGACACTTGCGGACCGCCCATTCGGCTTCGTCGATTCCCACCCTGTCGTCAACACCATTCCCAGGCTGGGCAAAAGGCCTCTTGATCAGTCAGCAGTAGAGGGCTTGTCCAGGGCCGTGAATAGTTGCAGGAGCGACATTGACAATTGGGTTCATCTAGCCGACGTCGGCGTCTACCTCAGCAAGATCTCGCCCGACCTCAACGCACGCAACTACGGTTATGAACGCCTGCGTGATTTCGTGGAGGCCTCTGGGATTTTGGACGTCATGAAGAGAGATATGGGTGACCACCCTCCCGTTGTTCTGGTCCGTCTCAGAGAGCATCGGGACCGAGTCTAGTCAATGGGGGAAGTGGCCTCTACGAGGCCAAATACAAATTGTGTCATTCGCACGGGTGTCATAATGAGATGTTCAGCAAGTAGGGAGATTCCTTAGCTCCGCGATCATTTCATAACGCACAAGTCACATCACATCGGAAGTCGTACAAGGGGAGAGTGCGAACTGTAAGGTATCTTGGCATGCCTTCAATCTACCCGAGACTCCAACATTACCTCCGCGGAAGCAAGTCTATCCGAGATACTCTGAACCGTGAACTATTCATCCATCCATCTATCCATCCATTTGTCGTACCTCAATGATACACGTTTGTCTTTATGGATCTACTTCTTTTCCTTCTTCCTGTCCTTGGGCGGATTCCAGAAACTCTCAGCTTCTTTCTTCTTTTCCATCGCTCTGTCGTTTTCTTTGGCTTCCCTTTCCGCTTTGTCATCGCGCCCCCATCTTCGTAAACATGCTGTACAGCCAGTCTGGTTCTTTAAGTGAGTCCCTTTTTTGCAACCCTGAAGACACAGCAGTTGGTGCTTCTTGCAGTATCGCACCCCAGTTGTGTTCCAGTCGCAATTGCCAGGACTCTCTTCGCCCACCCGGCCATTCGCACCAGGACAGTGATGGGTCTTCTTAGTCCCCTTAGTATAGTATTGATTTCCTTCGCCGCCTTTACCCATTCTGATAGCGTTGTAAAGATAGTGTCGAGGAGATTCCTGAGTAAGTTCTGTGGTTGTTTAGGGATTGTATTACGGTTGGGTTACTTGTCAGGGTTGCAGATGTCGTACTGCACATGCAGAACATTATATACACAGGCTTCACGAAACGCGTTGCGACAATATGGGACTTGACTTTGAGACAGTGAACCACATTGAGCATTCACACCGCCACTGCAGTGACTGTTCCGAAGGAAACGACCCTGTGCACCGACAAGACTTGGCGTTTGGCAAACAAAGAGACCCACCACAACAATGCGCCCCGACGCCTTTTAAAGACTGTTTCGCCTACACCACAACCTTTCTTCATACTCGTCATCCGCGCCATGTCACCTCGCTCTTCCGACCCTGCGGGTTCGCGGGTACCTGTCTCGGATGCGCCACACTGTGTCGACGCGCCTATCGAAGAGACTTGCGCGCAACACCAAGATAAACAGAACAATGACAATGACGAGCAGCAGCGCAAATCGTTAGTCTGCTCATCTCTAAAAGCAGATACAGTTATTTACGGCCAGGAACCATTCGAGACGCTTCAGCACAAAGTCCCTGCACTGGCCGCGAAATTGTTCCAGCGAGGCCCGAAAGATATCACGGTCACTGAGATGAAGGGTGGGTCCTTCAACCGAGTCGTCGGCGTCTCATTTATGTCAAAACCCAGGAAATTCAGCTTGGCCTGGTTCCTGTTGTCCTGTCTGGGCATGCGCAAGAAGAAGGGCGCCACCCGATTGGAGAAGTACATTCTGCGCATCCCGCGGATGGGTTATGACTATGAGGATTGTGCGAAAGACATGGCCGACAATATGGAGCGCGATGTTGCAGTCCTGAAGACTGTTGGCTCCAGGCTGCCTTTACCTATCCCCAAGGTTGCGAGCTATGATCTTACCGCTGAGAATATATTCGAACGACCATACATGGTCCAGGGTCACCTCCCGGGTCGCACCCTTGCGACAAATATCTGGGACGATCTCAACATGGAGCAAAAGAAGCACCTCGCAAAGGAGATCACCGCTCTCGCTCCCACCATTGCCTCTGTGGAAGGCCCGGTCGGCGACCTATCTACTCAAAACCTCAATAGGCCTTCAAATTCTCCAGTCTGCACCCAGGACTTTCCACAGCCATCTCGTGAAGGGCAGAAGCCCGAGCCCGCTACGACTTGCGACGCCTTCGACTGGATGTGGGAGCGATGCAGGCAGTGGAGCGTACATGACACCACCCATGATGGCTACGTTTGTTTCGATGATATCTGGAAAAGCTTCGCAAACATCGTGCGAGCTTTAGACGACCGAGGCTTTCTTGATGGACCATGCGTACTCGTTCACGGTGATCTCAAGATCTACAACATCCTCGCAGAAGTACGTAGTGACACCGAGGCGGTGGTCTCAGGCGTTATCGACTGGGACACGGCCATCATTGCCCCGGAGTTCATGGCCTATAGAGCACCGTTCTGGCTCTGGACGCCTGCCGACATGGCCAGCGCTGATGAAGATGACGAGAGCGTGGCGAACGTGGAGATGGCTACCGACGAGGACAGGATATTGAAGCAAGTGTTCCTCGACAATGCGTCCGACAAGTACAAGTTTTTTGCCTTTGCACCAGAGGCAATGCTCGCTAGACGTATGTTCTATTTTTTGCAAAAGGGAATGCCTGGTAGCTGGAACTATGATGAGGCGAAAGCGGTTGTAAAAGAGTGGGACAAACTCCACCCCGAGGATAATGTTCGGTTCCGTCTTGACTGGCAGTCCGACTCTGAGGCTGAGTCTGACTCAGATGATGAGCCTACAAAGGACGATAAGACTACGATGGACGATGAGATTACGGAGGACGATGAGCCTGGTAAAGACATTGAGTCTACAACGGATGCAGAAGAAGACGAGCCCATTGTTACGGAGTAGCAGTTACATGTTTTCGATATTTGAAGAAAATTCCAATACTGAATCACTTAGTCCCTTCCTCGTATTGAACATCTTGCCTTCTCTCTAACACGACATGTGAAATACTCAGTGCTTTGACTTAAATGTACTTCTTTGGTTCTATAAGCTCTCTAAGATACGTGCATTCACTTTTATTTAGCTATGCGACTACTGTGTCATCAAGGTACATCTCTTGAGGATTCAAAGCTTCAAATTTTACGTTAAGGTCCTCGAATTGATGATTGGCGTAAGCCCATGAGTGATTGTAATACCAGACAAAAGCTATCAACACCATGTGTCATGAGACATTTTAGCATTGATTGTGTTGGCTATCTTCTCACAAGCTGTATCGCTTACACAGCGCAATGTTGTTTCACTCTCATCACACTATTGGAGAGACGTTGTGCGCCTACAAAGATCTTCGTATTCGAGCGATCGCTGCGACTCAGTTCACAATGCACACAATAGTTTAATATCGACAAAACTATCTGCACAACCTTTCTTTATGAACTCATCAGTAGCGGAGATAAGAACATTGAAGTTCGTATAACCATCAAGGCCGCACTCAATGGCGAATCTCGACATGTCAATTCAAGGGCTTAGCAAAGTTGACATCGCCTGCATTGAAGCGGCTAGAGAATACCTCCCAGATCGCATCCCGAGCAACGATGAACTGACAACTTCTGGATATGAGAGTGAGAACCCCTTACGCCGCTTGTTTGACGACGAAAATATCTTCACTGAGGGTGGTATAGGCTTTCTGGAAGGGAGAGAAACAGTCTTGAGACTGAAGTTTCGAATTCTGCAACTCATTGCCGATCTGTTCCCTGAGAGCGAGATCGAAGAGTCTTCACTCCAAGTACTTGGAATGGGCTCTTTCAACATCGTCGTAGCTGTCGCGTTACAAGACAAAGCGCAACGACGTGACTCCGGGATCGACTTTAGCGCTAGAGTGTCAAGGTTTCTTCGTATACCTCCACGAATCCGTAAGTTTGCTTTGAGAATTCCAAGGGACAAGAAGGGAGACATGAATGGTCCTCCTGTGAGCGACGTTGCTGGCGACATTGCTACACAACGCGTTATCAGCTCTTGTCTAGGGCTACTCATACCCAAAATTGAGAAGTACGATCTTGGTCCGAGAAATGCCTTGGGACGGCCATATACCCTGCAGACCTTACTACCTGGTAAGAACTTACATGCATTGTGGCTAGAGCTAAATCCGCAACAGAAAGCGTCGGCCATCCAGCAGATTACGCAAACAGTGGAAAAGATTGCAGCCGTCACGACGCCCGCGGCTGGCTTCATCTCCCTGAGTAACTTGACCTCAGGAAGCTCAGCTATAGCACTGGATCAATTCAACGTTCCAACGGACAAAGAAGCGAAGTTACGACCACACTTCGCTCAACCCAGCCAGAATCCAGCACCATCTCAAACACCTTTTGGGTATCTGATTGATCATTGCCAACGCTGGCAGAAGTACGAAGAAGAGATTGGACGTGCGAATCGAAACAAGAACATGTGGCGAATCACGATCGCCGTTGCGAAAGCTCTGGATCGGCGCGGATGGCTGGGGCAGTGCTTCCATCTTACGCATGGCGACTTGTTTCCCCGCAATATACTCGCTAAGATCACAGGCCCAGAGACTGTGAAGATCACAGGTATCGTAGACTGGGATATGGCTTGCTTCGCACCCAAGTTTGTGGCCCTTCGTCCCCCGTTCTGGGCGTGGGTAGGTCACTCGATGGACGAGAGAGACGAAGACTTGGCAACATACGAGCCGCCTGAGGGAAGATTCCAGACGTTGAAGCAAGCTTTTAGGAGCGCAGCGTCAGAAGAGTTCATCATATTTGGTCTTTCGCGCGAGAGTGCCATCGCGAGGAAGCTGTTTAGGGTCGTCAACAGTGGGTTGCTGGGCGATCGTCGGCATCTGGCGCTTCAGCTGGCAGAAGAATGGAATGCCTTGTACCCGGAGGATAAGATTGGTGATCTTGAAGCAGAGTGGAATTGAGGAACGCTCACTTCATCGTGCATATAATTTCCCTCGCGAAGCAAACAATCGTAGAACTTTCTTACTTCCTACCTACACGGGTGCAACATTCGATGCAAAGGCTAATAGATAATCTTAAAAAACTCCGCAACTACCAGAAAGACGGACGGGTTACTGAAGTTGAGATTCCTCATCCCAGGGTGATGTAGCAGTGATGACCCTTGGGAGCAATCAAGAAGTTGTTGTCCATCTCCATCATCTCATCGTTCATCGAGTCGGCAATTCTGGCACCGCGACAATTGCGGAAGAAGAGGGCAGCTCCTAAGCGGAGCTCCATGTACGCCAGATGTATGCCGATACACACCCTCGAGCCAGCTCCAAAGGGCATGTATGACGCCTTCTGATGTGCTGACATCATGCTCTTGTCCAGAAAGCGAAGACCGTCGAACTTGTAGGGATTGGGAAAGGCGGAAGGATCGCGATGGTTTGTGTAAGCCTGAGTGCTGACCACAGTATCGCCGGGGATGTGATGGCCGCCTATGACAGTGCCCTGTTTCGGTACAACCCGAGGCAAAGCGCCAGGAGCAGCGCCATAAAGCCTCAACGTCTCTGCAATGACGCTGTTCAATAGAGGCGCAGTCTCAAGCTCTTCCTTCGTAAGCTCCTCGCTGAGTTCTGCAATCTCGTTCTCGAGTCGAGATTGCAGATCTGGCTGCTTGAGAACCGCCCAGACGAGATACGTGAGCGTCACCGCGGTAGTGTCCGATCCGGCCACAATGAAGCCGGCCGCTTCCTCCCTGATGTGTTTATTCGAAAGTGCGGCAGTCTTACTGTCTTCCCCAGCAGCCATCATTTGATTGAAGAGATTCTTGGCATTGCCACCCTCACTGCGCATCTTCTGTATCGCCCGCTCGCCGTGTTCGTTTAGGACATCATCGATAGAGTAGAGGAACTTTATCCGTTTGATGGGGAGGCAACTGAGAAGTTTCCAGATGGTAGTTCCAATTTCAGACCGAATGATACCGCAAATAAGCGCAGCCTGAATAGCATCGATGTATGGTGTTTGCTACCTCTGTTGTTAGAAAATGCATACATAGCAAGACTGAAGAAGGCTGAGTTACATACCTTACCCATCTCAAGCATCTCGGAGCTCTCTCCAAAGCTGAGGTGAGCAATTACATCATTCGCCATGAGCGTCCACCATTTGAGGACATCGGCTCCTTGCGATGAACCCATTGCGTCGTGTCGAATCCTCTGGACAGCTAGGTTCGCTTTCGTCCTAATCTCTACGTCCCAGTTGCTGCTCAAGCTGGTGTTGCTGAAGGGTCGGGCAAACAGCCTTCTTCTTGCGGCATGGGCATACGGATCGCGCATCGGGAATATACCGGGTGTATCAGTTGGGAGGAGAGACGAGTAGAAGTCCGACTTCAGGTACCCAGCGCCGATCTTGTGTATCTGACTGACACCGGCTATATCCGATATGGCTGTCTCATTTGGCGAGATCCGTACGACGCCGCCATAGCGCTGGTGAAGATTGTCCACGTAGAAGATTCGTTTGCCTGAAACCGTCTGGTAACGAAGGACGAGATTGGTGTACTTGGTATACCATGGCCCTGGCAGCTTTGACAGTGGACCTGTGAGCCCTGTCCACACGATCTTCGGTTGTTAGTCTTGACGCAAAGGAGTCTGGTATGAGTCTTGTACCCTGATGATGTAGGCCAGTACCACCAAGAGAGCGGCTAAGACGCCCCGCTGAAATGGCATCTTGAAGAAGTCCGAGTGAGATCGCAATTCCTATCGGTATAATTCTCGATTGAGTAGAGGGGTGGACTTGTGAGCCAACTTGCAGTATGTTGTCTCAAATTTCTAGCTGCGTGGACCCTTTACATATCGCAAAACTTGCGGGATGTGGAGGTCAAGTCGTGAACGGCCCTTCATTTTTCGCGGTGGTTGTTTGATTCAACGGTGACGCACATCCTGGAAGGCAGTTCTTGCGCCGGCTTGGAAGTAGCATACCTGACAGACGCTCGCTCCGCACAATGAGAGACTTGTTGCATTCGCTCAAAGCTGCCGATGAAAAGCATGGATGATATCGGCCGAGCAGTGGGTCTGAACGCATTTGAGTACACACCATGAGACGCGACCAGTCAGGAGGCCTGGAGGGCACACGAGCACAAACACGCGCAATTGGTCAGTCGAAGCCGATTGATGAGGGGGTATTGCATTGGAGTGGGCGGAGCGGTGTATCAGATTCTCCGCCCCCGCCTACGAATGGCTCGGATGTGTTGTTGCCCCGAATGAGGCCTTGCGCACCCTAGAACGCGCTTCGTTCTGAGTCGGCCGAATTGCGCTGGGTAACGATGTTACTCCAGAGATTGATCACGGGGCCTACGGACGCCACGGCCGCCGCCGTAGCTCGTACCTAGGTACGTCGCTCGTACATTTCAGTATTAGCTCTCAGACTAGACTTTATGAAGATTAGCGTAGGGGCTGAGAGCGGGGAAGGTGATGACGTAAGGAGGCTCAACAATATCACCAAAATTCATTCTCGCCATCTCGAGATTGCACATATCTACTCAATATCGCTAGCGAACTAATGGAAAAGGCTGAGTTCCCGAAGAACATATCGCGAGGGTTCGCCAGCTTGCCATTAGAGCTGTTCCTCAACGTTCTCGATCAACTTGTGGGTACCCACAACGGCCAGCATCCCGTAGCGTATGCACCGTCAAACATCATCACCAAGACGTTGCGCGCACTCACTCTGGTGTCGCGCAACACTTATCTTATAGCAACACAGTATCTTTACTCGCATTGTCTGTATCTGGACAGTTGCACGACCTATGCGCGATTTCGCAGAACACTCGGACTAAACCTGGGGCATCACCCACAAGCTCTCAACTATGGAGAAGCCGGGCGAAACGAAGAACTGTTTACGGAAGCCCAGGCACTCCGCCATATAACATCAATATTCATCTCGCCAACTGAGGTGCACAGGCTGATCGAAGGGAACTACACGCCTTTGGTGCGATTACCCCAGGTCATAGATTTGTGCAATCTGACAGGAACTTCACTCAAGAGACTGGCTTTAGATCTCTCTCCGATCTATGCACCACCAAGTGAGGTTGAGCAAATTAGGCCACATATCACCGAGAACAGGGTCTTTTCACACATGCTGCACCTTGAAGAGCTCATTGTCAGCTACGATGTGGTCAACTACTTTCGACACCCACCGCCCAATCTCAAACGGCTTGCCATCACTACCCAAGAGATGTCGGATCTAGAAATAGCATTCTGTCTCAAGACCCCATCCTTGCAAACGCTTGTGATGATGCGACCCGTCAACCTAGCAGCGAAAACCATCGACACAATATTCAGATCATACGATGGGAAAAGCCTGGACGTTGTTCTGGTCGATGTGAACTCGAACCATCGGACACCAAACAAGACCCGGAACTGGACAAATCAAGATACAGTGCGTATCTGGGAAGCTGATGTACCTGTCAGCTTTTACGGCGACGAGGACGACATCATATTATGCGATGCCTGGATATGGAATCACGGAGTAGGTGGTACCCTATGGAGTCAAGACAAGCGGCGGATGGCATCATGGGAAGAGGTTGAGAAGCGTCTGGCCGGACCAGTACACACCATTGTTGATTTGTAGCTTCGAGGTTATTAGCACACATCGGGACATCACGGCTTCAGCAGCACCAAGGTGGCATCAACATCGGTTTCGCATTTCTTGTGCGAGGCAGCTCTCGGATCGACCATCCATCTGCATGCTTAATCTCCTCGCAATGAGGAGTTACACATGTCTTTCCGATCCAGGGATCTGGTTTCCCCAGGTTACACCCTCTTGTACCAGCAAGCTCCCTGGAAACTTGTCTTTTAGTATACCCCGCCCGACTATATCGTCTGCTTCTCTTTCCAACTCTTCTATATCCCATGTCGTATGCACATAGCTGCCCTTGAGCCTGTCCGCTCTGCCTCCACCCAGCCAAACCGAGAACATGCCGACTAGCTCTGGACTATCAAACGCAAAGGGCCTGAACATATCGCTCGTCCTTTCCGTCCTCACAACCCCAGGATCCAGCGAGAAAGCCTTCATATCTGGATACTCGACGTTGAGGAACTCGATGAGCCGGCGGTCGGTTTGTTTCGCAATGCCATAGGAAGAGAGACCGGGTGTCACGACCGTACCCGCACCGGATGTGATGGAGATGAATGTTCCGGTTGGTGCCGGACCAAACGTGCGGATGTATTGGTGGGCGGGAAGATGTGTGCTGCGGAAGTTTGTTGTCATATCAGCCCACCACTCGTCGTTGTCGTCGGTCTCATCTATCCTGCTGAGATGTGCGGTACCGACGTTTGCGACGACTACGTCAAGTTGGCCAAACTCCTCTCTTATCGCATCAAAGAGTCTGGCGACCTCGGCCGATTTTGTGGTGTCGCAAGCCATGGCCAGGACCTGTGTTGTGGGGTTGAGTCGCTTCAGCCTGACGATGACGGGCTCGAGATCGTCTTCGTTGCGACTACTAATGGCGATACCCGCGGCCCCTGCCTTTGCCCACGATGAAGCGATTGCCCGGCCGATCTCTTCCGAAGCTTCGGTAACGAGAACGTATTTGCCGGCGCCTGTGTGTTGTACTTCTTCAAGAGCGGGATATGGTTGGCGATAGTATGTGCTAGTGAACTGACACATCTTTGTGAGCATATCTGGGTCAATGTGCTGGGCGACCATGGCGACGATGAGAAACTGTGTGGTAATCTTCGGCGGATGTGGTGGACGACTTCCTGGATATCATCATCACATACCCCGGAGACGGTACCTCGCGCAATTAGCGTGCTATCAGCATCCGCCCGACGCGATACCACTTCAGAGGGCATCTACACTCCCTGTGGTGTTGAAGCCACAGCAACCGGTCACCAGCTCCTCGGTATCATCCTTCGCGTGCTTAATCCGCGGCCAAGTATACCCAAAAGACAATGTCGATGATGGTTATATGCAATCTAATGTCCTTTCACACTTGTAGCATCTCTATCACAGCAACATCCTGCATGTGCTACTTTGATAAAGATGTAAGGCTATACGACCAGGCCAGTCACAAACTACCCACAACCTACTATAGCATGAACGGGCAGGTCTAGGGTTACCTGGTGGATGACGCGCCGGAGCCAGAGACCAGCCTTTAGGCATTTGAAGAGGCAGCTGTCTAAGTATAGAGTACTCCTAGGGAGAAAGTGTACAAGAGCTTCTCGCTTCTATCCGCGGCCTATTAATAGGCCGCTAATATGCAAGCCGGAGGGTCTACAGCACCACCAAGATACCAATAACAGGGTAATTCGAGGCCGATCTGTCCAAAATGTTGTCCAGACTTTCGCCTTACGATGTTGCGGACCAATGCGAAGCTATCAGAGATGTTGGCGTTCTCGCGTGTAAGCGTCTGGGGGCCAAAAGTGCGGCCAGATTTTACCGGCGGAATTCTGCCGGTCAATTCTCAACATGGAATGCAGCGCGAACCTCGGATCAGCACGTGCGAATCTGTGTGTATCATGGTGATGAGTGTTCAATTAACAAGCATCAATTTGGCGTCTAATGCGGTGTTTGTGGATATCGCCGAGGTACCTAGGTAACCACGCATCCTCTTTCATTCGCCACCCACTTCGTCCCGTAGTACTGCGATAACGCAGAGCGAAACAAGCTACTCACAACTTCCGCAACATCGATAACCTAGACAAGAAGATACTCGTACGAATAAAAGAAGTCACAAGCATAATATACTGTCGCGTATTTACTTGCAGTAACGACCCACGTCTCCTTCACCAAACCTACGCAACAACCACCTCCTGCGCCCCAACATCCATCTTCGCGCCCTCCCCTTTCTTCGTCTCCTCCTCGCCCCTCTTCCACTTCTCCGCCCTCCCATAACTCTCCCTATACCCCTCCAAAATCGCCTCTTCAACCGTAATCTCCCCCCACCTCTCCCCCTCCCCCTCCCCCTCCCCCCTACAATTCGGCAATCCCCCAACC